TATTACTCAGAGCAATGCTCATTACCCGCTGAAACAAATAGTTCCCAAAGCTAACAGGTTTATAACCGGATGCATGTTTCTTGCTCATGTCACGTCTGACTCAAGTCTCATAGCTCTCTTGAGGGGCTCTCCTCTAAGGCTGGCTCTGGGGGCTCTGGGCTCCTTTCTGGTGGGTCTCCGCCATCTTGGAGTCTTTTGTATCCTGTTGCGTGGACAGGAGTGAAGTCAAGGTCTAGGCTTAAATTCTACTCACCAGGGGTGCCTGGGTGGCGCAGTCAGTTAAGCGTCCGACTTCAGCCAGGTCACGATCTCGCGGCCCGTGAGTTCGAGCCCCGCGTCGGGCTCTGGGCTGATGGCTCGGAGCCTGGAGCCTGTTTCCGATTCTGTGTCTCCCTCTCTCTCTGCCCCTCCCCCGTTCATGCTCTGTCTCTCTCTGTCCCAAAAATAAATAAAAAAACGTTGAAAAAAAAATTAAAAAAAAAAAAAAATTCTACTCACCAAACAAGTCACATGACCCCACCTAGATGCAAGAGAACTGGGAAACACATTTCTGCTGTGTGTCCAAAGGAAAATGAAAGCAGTTTGCACTAAGAGGATAAGAAGCCGAACATCTTAAAATGACGAGGGTTGCTTCACCTTGTGGCAAAAGTAGGAAAGAACTGGAAACCGATACTGTCAACCAAGGTATGACTCTTTGAGCCTCCACGGAAGGAATGGAAAGTTCAGTCTCCCTTCATCTCTTGGGCCTGTGTGAAGAAGGAAGTCAGTGGAGCAGCCAGAACTCCTGTGGATGGAGAAACTGACGGAAAGCCGGGGGGCTCTCCAGGTTGTACCAAGCAGTGAATGGTAAGGATGTTGGAAGCCCTCAGAAGGTTCCAGCTTCCTCACTTCCAACATATCAGTGAAACCTTCCTTGGCTTCTTACTCCAGCTGGGCTGGCAAACCCCATGTTTCCCACAATCCCTGTCCTGTCCTGCCTCAGAGTTTTACTCCTGCAGCGTCTGTCTAAATATCCTTGCAGCCAAGGGGAAGTTTCCCACTAGGTGATCTAAACAGAGGTCCCTTCCTAATCCACCCCACGACATGGGGCTGCCCAAAAGGCCCATGAGGAGTGGAACATCTGGCTGTTTTTTTGTTTTTTTTCAAATGAGCAATAAATTCCAGGTAGCTTGCTGAGTCAGGTAGCACCGTTTGGAAGTGTGTGCTCGTGTTCAGGCAGGGGCCAGCCCGGCCAGCCCAGGAGCCAGCAGCTCCACAGCAGGCAGGGAGCGCTCAGGGACAGACGGCCACAGGGACAGCTCAGGGATAGATGGCCACAGGGAGACAGCTCAGGGAGAGATGGCCCCAGGGACAGCTCAGGAACGGACAGCTGCAGGGAGAACTGAGGGACAGACGGCTACAGGGGGCACAGCTGAGGGACGGATGGCCGCAACAACAGCTCAGGGATGGACAGCCACAGGGAGAGAGCTCAGAGACAGATGGTTACAGGGAGAGCTCAGGGACAGACAGCCGTTCTCTCATAGCACAGGGCCCTGCCCGTGAGGCAGTTTCCTCTCTAGTAGAACTGAAGGGAGGGCCTGAGATGTAGTCCCTTCTCTCCTAACTTTTAGCTCCTACTCTCATACCCTGTCCCCAGGCAAATGGTGATGAGATTTAGGCTTTTAGATAAGCCACTTATTACATAATTCCCAGTGAGAGAAAATGTGACAATTTCTCCTCTGTGTCAGAGATTTTGCTTTGCCCGTGGGGTCTTCATCACTAGGAAAATGTCATTACGTGACAATTGGATTTGACAGGCAGAAAGCCTCTCAAGAAAGTCTGGCTTTCAGGGGGCGTTTGAAACTAAGACCTAAACTACAAACATCCTCTCCCATGAGCAATGTCTAGAAGCTTCTTACAGGCCATCAGGAACAAACCAACCCCGGATGTCTTTACAAAGCACCTGTTTTAGGTTAAAAAAGAAAAAAGCAGTGATTTGCAGACTAAATGTGGGAAGTGGCTGGGAGCTTACTGGTTGGAGGCAAGCAAGGGGCAGATTCCTGAACTCTGGCTCTCCTCTCACGGGACGAGTCATTTAGCCTCGTCTTCAAGGGAGATCATGACGGTGCCTACCTTGCAGAGTCCTCACGCTGTGGAGGTAAAGTGTTCAGCACAGTGCTGGGTGTGGGGTTGGAGTCGGTCTGCAGATCTTTGTCACCTCACAGACTGGTTTTCACTCGGATGCCCTCAGGAGCCCTCCGCCCCAGCTCCTCAGGCAACTGTATCGTTTTCTTTCATCGCCTTGGATGTGGGCATTCTGCTGTAAGCTTTCTTGAACAAACGGGTCTTCATCGTCAAAGATAATAGTTGGTGGGGCGCCTGGGTGGCTTTGTCAGTTGAGCACCCAACTCTTGGTTTTCGGCTCAGGTCATGATCTCATGGTTCACGAGTTCGAGCCCCTTGTCGGGCTCTGCACTGACAGTGCAGAGAATATGCTTGCATATTCTCTCCCTCCCTGTCTCTCTCTCTCTCTCAAAAATAAATAAATAATCATGTAAAAAACAATAATTCTAATTGGAGAACCACCAACCTGAGTTCCAATTAGAGTGGGGTGGGACACTAGATGACCCCAAAAGCCTTCCGGCTGCAAACATCTGGGAAATGTAGATGAAATGTACAAAGCGTCAGAAACACAGAGCAGAGTGTGTAAGAAAGTAAGAGAAATGATCAACACCACAAATAGAGAAACTGAACGCCAGAAGGGTACGACGAGAGCGCAAGTGTGGGAAGCGGGAGGCAGGGGGTCACCGGGTGCTGGGGAGGGGAGAGCGAGAGGTGGGAGAACGGCACATCCTGATAATCCAGGAGCGTGGGTTTTAATGCCCAGATGGGAACACAAGACCAGGGCATGGGTCCTTCTCAAAGAAATAGCTACATGTGAAATAGCTGCGGTAATTGATGACACAACTGGGCCACTAAGCAAGTCCCAGCAAACACTATCCTCTCCCATGAGCTGATACCACATAGACTATGCTCTCTTACCCCCGTGAATTTTAATAATAAATAATAAATAAGTAAATATTTAATAATAAATATTTAGTAATAATAAACAACATCTCCAAAAGCACCCTGTGCATTTGCAAATTTGAAGACATACTTGTAAATAACATAGGTGTCAAAGGAGAGATCGTACTGGAAATTTGAACATGTTTAGAGTGAAACTCACGGTTAACAGCTACATGCATGGGAAACAGCTAAAACAGTATTTTGCAAGAAGTGCTATAGCTTTAAAGGCGTGTATTAAGGAGGAGGAGGAAAACCAACAAGCTCAATATTCAATTCAAGGAATTAGAAAAATAAAATAAAATAATATAGAAAACCGACAGGAGCATATAAATGATCCTAGTAAGACTAAAAACTGATACAATGGAAAACAAAGTGAGAGTAGAAGAAGCAAACCAAAAGCTGGTTCTCTGGAAAGACTAGTAAAATCGGCAAATCTTCGAGCAGGGTTTATCCAGGAAAAAGAGAGAGAGAGAAGAGAGTCACAATAAAAAGAATGAAGACAAGGTCATAACTATAGAGGCAATAGAGGGTTTGTTTTTTTTTTTTTACACTACATGACAACAATTTTAGGACCATAAATTTGAAAATTTACGGGGCGCCTGGGTGGCGCAGTCGGTTAAGCGTCCGACTTCAGCCAGGTCACGATCTCGCGGTCCGGGAGTTCGAGCCCCGCGTCGGGCTCTGGGCTGATGGCTCGGAGCCTGGAGCCTGTTTCTGATTCTGTCTCCCTCTCTCTCTGCCCCTCCCCCGTTCATGCTCTGTCTCTCTCTGTCCCAAAAATAAATAAACGTTGAAAAAAAAAAAAAATTAAAAAAAAAATAAAAAAAAAAAAAAAAAAAAAAAAAAAAGAAAATTTACTTAAAACGAACAACGTCCCGGGAAAATATAATTCACTAAAACTGACTCAAGAAGAAATAAAAAACCCGAGTGATGCCAATGTTATGAGTTGAATTGTATTCCCCTGAAAAGCTCTATCTACGTCCTAACGCCTGGTGCCTCGGAATGGAACCTTACTTGGACAATCGGTCTTTATGGAGGTAGTGAAGACGAGGTCATGCTGAAGCGGGTCCCTAATCCAGGACGTCTGTGGTTCTTTCAAGAAGATGGCCACGTGAAGACACAGACACGTGGCGGACACTATGGGACACTGGAGGTGGACATTGCAGCCATGTGTAGACAAGGCAAGGAGCAACAGGGATCCCAGGTCGTCACCAAACCCCAGGAGAGAGGCATGGAAGAAATTCTTCCTCGGAGCCTCCAGAAAGAACCACCCCTGCTGACACCTTGATTTCAGACTTCTGGCCTCCACAACTGTGAAAGAACGAATCTCTGGGGTTTTAAAGTACCCATTTTGTGTTCCTTTGTTACGGCAGCCTTTGGAAACAAATACAACCAATAACCACTGGAGTCATTGACATAATAGTTTAAAATCTGTGTGGGGGCGCCTGGGTGGCTCAGTTGGTTTAGCGTCTGACTTCGGCTCTGGTCATGATCTCACGGTCTGTGAGTTCAAGCCCCGCGTCGGGCTCTGTGCTGATGGCTCGGAGCCTGGAGCCTGCTTCGGATTCTGTGTCTCCCTCTCTCTCTGCCCCTCCCCGTTCATTCTCTCTCTCTCTCTCTCTCTCTCTGTCAAAAATAAACATTAAAAAGAAATTAAAAATAAAATAAAAATAAAATCTGTGTGTGTGCCTGTGAGTACACACACACACACACACACACACACACACACACACACAGTGATCCATTTCATCCTCATCACATAGACACGTAAACTGAGGTCCCGAGAGATTTCCTATTCAGAACCCCCAGCAAGATGGTGGTAGCAATGGCTGGGGTAGTGATGGGTGGGCATCCAGAGAGTAAATAGACCCCAAGCACTCTAGTGACAACACTAGACTCTGAATTGGGACAGTCAGCCCCTTTGCACTTTTCATAAGGTCATTTTCTCTTCCCAGGTGCCTCAAGGTGATGGAAAATTAATTCTCTACCCCAGTGGGATTGTCTTCCAAATTCTCTTTCCTGATGAATCGGGCCAAATACAGTATCCACCGAAACCCAGGGACACTCATACTGACACATGTGACACCTAAGAAGTTTGTGGTTTGGGGCTGGGGCATGGGTTTTCCTGAGCCCTGCGTCCTCTGCAGGGCTCTCTGCCTTTCCTGGGGGTCCCAAGAGGGTGCTTGTGCCTTAACTGTCTTCCAGTTATCCATCAGGAAAGCTGGCTATGCTCATCCTCAGTACAAAACAGAGAAAGTTCATATATATCATTCTAGAAGACAGTGAAGAAGGTTGTGTCCGGGCCCTTATCAACAACTCCGGCCATGCCACCTTCTACGATGAAAACAAAGCAATCTGGTAAGTTTGGGTCATGAGAGCCACACACCCCTCCCCAAGGAGAAGCAGTGTGGTTAAGGTTTGATTCCCAGGCTGCACATCTGTCCTCCCACACTGGGTAAGTCTCTCTCTCTCATTCGCTTGTGAATTTGTTTCTCCGACTCGCACATGTTGCAAAGGGGACGATGGGTATCGTGAGGGCAGCAAGGCAGGTCCCTGGCCTCAGGGAAGGCACTCTGTCCCTGGTGCCATTGCTTCCTCGTGCGTGAAACAGCGACCACAGACTCACAGTGACCCCTTCCACGGGCTGTATCTCCTCCATGCTTCTTGAGAGTCAAACCTGGTGACAATTGCCTTAGAAAGACGCAGTGCCCTTCTGTTCCAGGTGGCTCAGAGAGGAGGGCATGGTGAGTGCTTTGGAGTCTCATGTATTGTACACAAAACCAAACTTCTAAATATCTCAGTGCAACTGAACTTAAGTTTCCAATTAAAAAAAAATTTTTTTTTTACATTTTATTCATTTTTGGGAGAGAGAGACAGAGACAGAGCACAAGCGGGGGAGGAGCAGAGAGAGAGAGGGAGACACAGAATCCGAAGCAGGCTCCAGGCTCTGAGCTGTCAGCACAGAGCCCGAAGCGGGGCTCGAACTCACAAGCTGTGAGATCATGACCTGAGCCGAAGTCAGACGCTTAACCGACTGAGCCACCCAGGTGCCCCATTAAGTTCCCATTTCTGGCAATAGCGGGAAACTTCATCCCACCAAATCAAGGTAATCCAGCCACTTCAAAATCTTTCTCTACCTTTTTGGGGTAAGTACTCAGTGTTTTCAGGATTTCCCACTTCCCTTCCCAACTAAGTGGTCATGGAGTGGGAAATGCCTACCATCTTGCATCAACTTTATAATGCTTTTCTTCTTGATAGTCAAAACCAGACTTTTGTTTTTACTTCCAAAAATTTTTTTCACTCTCCCAGCCTTGGTTTTTAAGAATATTTTCTTACATATTCTTTAAGTTTTTTTTTTTTTTTAATTTCTGTGTGTTTGGGGATTTTCTCCTTTCTTTTTTTTCTTTTTCTCTTTGAGTTTTTTTTTTTTTAATTTTTTAAGTGTGTTTACTTATTTTGAGATAGACAGAGAGGGAGGGGTAGAGAGAGAGGGAGAGACAGAATCCCCAACAGGTTCCACACCATTCATTAGTGCAGAGCCTAGATCTCATGAACTGTGAGATCATGACCTGAGCTGAGATCAAGAGTTGGACACTGAACCCACTGAGCCACCCAGATGCCTCATTTCCTAGTTGACAACTTTGTTCTCAGAGGTATCTGCCTTGCCCTGGGGGCCTTTTGTGCAGAAATCAATGCCTCAAAGGTAGAAGAAGTTACTAGATGCTAAGTAGCGGGGGCAAGAAACTCAGCCAATTCTCTCAGATCATTACCTGGTGACATTCATTAGGGCCTCTTGTCCCCAGTGACACTCACTTTCAAAGGCCAGAAGATACCTTAGGGAAATCTAGGAACTACTTTTATTTTCTTGATGAAGAAACTTAGGCTCAGGGAATATACGTGGCTTGTTCAGGGACATACATAAAATTACGGGCAAAAAAAAGTTTTAGGACATTTGACTTAGCACTTTTTAAAAATTCTCCAATAAGGCAGGCAAGAGATAACCACATCTTCTCCGGGTCCAAAACCCAAAGGGAAGGATGATGTGCACACTGGGGAAGGGCTGACCCCCACCTTCTGGATTCACATTCTGTCCGTCTGGGGTGGGGCCTGAAGATCTGCATTCCTTAAAAGCTTCCCAGGTGATTGTGCGGGGCGGTGGGCGTGGGAGCCTCCAGGCCAGGAGGGAGGAGAATGGGAAAGAGGCAGGGGAG